CCTGAGTTTTCCGCTTTCCCTCTTCTCGGTGTTGCACTTCCCAAGGCAAATGCTGTCTCCTGTGCAAGGGGCTCTTCCCACTCCTCACAAAAGGAAACCAGAGCGGGTGAGAGACCAGAGTGAGCCTTGGGTTCTTGTCAGAGTGTATAGCATTGTGTGACCTACAACACAGGAAAATTCCAGTTTGGGCCAGGGACGAAACTACGTGTTCTGCCGAGTATGTTTTCTTCTCCTGCTTCTCCACTCTATGCTGTCTCCTCTTGCTGCATTGCCACTCTTAGGCAGCTTAAAGTCAGAAAGAAAGTCAGAGGTGTGGGAGAAAGACACGGAGGATTTGTTTTTCCCTAGCCTTGCAATGGCTGAGTACAGGCTTTGGACAGAGGTGCTGGTTCTGAAGGGGCTTGCTGGGCTTTTTGTTATGGTAGGAAGGGATTTGGGCTGTGGGATTTGGGCTCCCGCTACGACAAGGTGACGTTTGGCTCAGGGACCAGACTGTCTGTCCAGCCCAGTGAGTGTACAACTTTCTTGTGCCTCCTCTCTCAAAAATCCTGAAGTGTGTACTGGGGCACCCTGTAGACATAGTTGTTTCACCTGAGTCACATAACAGCTGGAATTTAATGCAGATGACCTAAACCATCAGGGGAGTTTCTGCGATGGTGGGCATCCACCATCTATTTGGGAAGGTTTTTGTTGAGAGAGGAGACCACAGAATCTGATGCCTATAAAACTATCCCTGGCTCTGGAAGGACACTCAAAGTTAGGCCATGTAAGTCCAACACTGCTCCTATGCTCTGTTTCCTTTGAGATCTTTCTTGAGGTGGTTCAGTGTAGAAACGTGTCTGGGTGTTTGGTTACCATCTACTGATGGACTTTGTTTTAAGGCAATGTGCCTGCTTGGTCCAAAACAATCCGTCTTGCTCCTAGTTTGTGTGGGACAGGCAAAGTGGCCACACATCTACTCCTGGAATCCCATGGTGTGGCTTTCTTATGCCATTCCATCCTGGTCAAGTTTTTGTTCAATGGGAAGTATTATCACCCTTCTGCTGCCCCTTGTAGCCTTGGCATGGTTGAGTAAAGGCTTGTGGAGAGGTGCTGCTTCTGAAGGGGCTTGTTGGTCTTTTTGCTATGGAAGGAAATGCTGTGGGATTTTGGCTATGGCTACAAGGTGACATTTGGCTCAGGGACCAGCCTGTCTGTCCAGCCCAGTGAGTTTGAAGCTTTCTTGTGTGTATTTTGTCAAAAGTATTTGAGAGTCCACCAGAGGTGGCCAATAATGTTGGTTAGATTATTCCAATAAGAATTTTGTTGTGCCGTGTTCTCAAGTGTTAATCCAGCATATGTGCATACCAGTGCAATATTTTGCAAAGCATAGTGTCACAGTGTGAGTTATGGCAAAGTTACTTTTGGAGCTGGAACCAAACTCACGGTTTCTCCAGGTATGTCTGAATCCTCAGATGTGATTCCTCTTGGAAGTACTTCTTTCTCTTTGCAAGTTATTTTGCCTATGTCGTTACTCCACAATATATTAGGAATAGGACTATAAATTTTCAACTGGTATAAAAGGAAGTGATTTCCATGGCTGCATATATATTTTCCCCTCCTGATTCCTGATGATGAATAGCCATAGCAGACATTTTACATATGCAAGAGTATTTTTCTTGGAAAGTCAACAGGAAGTGGGCTGATAAATAAAAAAATCCTCATGTAGAGGAGAAGCAAAAGGAAGTGGTGAAAGCTAGGATGAACCAGGAAAATACAGAGTGGTGAGTCTAGTCTCATAAAGCTGATGATAGATAGAAAGGACTTTTCTAGTGTGTGGATACTAATACTCTAATATAACAAGACTCCTAATGACCTTTAAAGGCCTCTTCCAACCCAAACTATTTTATGATTCTAATTGTATGCGCATGCAAAATATAAGCACATACCGGGTCTTTGCTTTGTAGACCCTCAATAAAGCTGTAATATAGGGGGTGGGTTTCTGTCATATTGTGAAGCATTATGTAAATACTGGAAAATCAGGAATCAAGCTTATCCTTGAGAATGATACCAAGTTTGTAATCACAGACAACTAGTGTTGAGTGCTGTGAAATTACCTTGGCCTTCAACATCTATGTGAAGTTTGAAGCACCTTAGAAGTGAAGCTCTGAAACTCTTGGAGACCAGTGTGATGGGGTGTGAGGGGTGGAATAGCTACCCAGACAGAGGGGAAAGAGGTCAAGAATCAAAGTTCATTACTGAATTACTTTTGTGGAACGATGGAAAGGTGATCCTGACCACAAAACAATTTTCTCTGACCAAAAAAGCATGAAAAAAATTGTACTTCGACAGATGCTGCCACAAGTGTCGCCAAACCCCTACACCTCTTCTCTTGTTTAAAACTCTTTGGAAAAGGTAAAGAAAATAAAGAAGATCCTGAGACACCAATATTTTGTACATATGAATGTATCAATTTTTCCAAATTTCTTAAGAATACTTTTCAGACCATTTAATACTTAAATGTTTTGGATTTACTCTTGAAAAGTAGTATTTCCATTTCTTAAAATTGTAGTGATTGTTAAGATAATTTTGAAATAATTTTATTCTGAAAGTTAAAAACCACAGCAATATAAAGAAACTATTCATTCTGAAAACATCTGGGAAATTTCCTCATATTTCAAATGACCCTCCTGACCCTGTTCAAAAATATCTGAGAAAAATAAGAATCTCAAGTTTATATGGAGCAAGATAAAGGAGCTATAAATCAAGGCTCTGCCTGAGTTCATTTACATGTTCCTAAATTTAGCATTATGGTCACATCTGTATGCAATTCCTCCAGTTCTTGCTCTGGTCACACTGTGGAACCTAAGAGCTTCCCGAATGCATACTGAAACCTCAGTATTTAATGGCAGAATAAGCAATGGTCTCCCTGCCACATAAAAAAAGTGTGCTTTCTACTTAAAAGCTAAATGGCAAATTTGCTCTGGAATCACTCTTCAGATGACAAATCCAAGGGAATGTGATGATGGAGTTATACTATGCCGTCGATCACTAGGTGAGCTGTGAAGTAACAGTAAATAAACTAATTTTTGAGAGACGAGTCTGACTGGCAGACTAAATAAATGAGGAATGAGATGAAGAACAGAACTTGGATGCAGGTTGCTTTCTGGAAGCAATAGGATAAATATGGTGGAGGGGAATATTAAGGAACAGGTGTATGGGAGTTTGAAAGATGCAAAACACCACATGAAAAGAAAGTTAGTTGGAAGAAAAGTCCTAGATAGATTAATCTGTCTAATCATAGAGATAAATATGATTTCTTTTGGTGGATTATTTCATAACTCTAGATATCGTAGAGGCCTGTGCTATTGTGTGACTATGGAAGTAGTTACAAACTCACATTTGGGTCTGGGACAAGACTTCTGGTTTCGCCAGGTACATTTATCCTGATTTTTTGCATGATTTGCAAGATTGCTGTGGGTACACAACAAGATCTGGGAAATGGCAGCTGTCAAAAGCATAGCCTGAGGTCTCACCTTAGCCAATGCAATTAATTTCACACAGCTGTCTGAACAGTCTTCCTTGAGGCAGCTGCAGGCAGGCATGTGCTTTGAGTGCTCTTCCATCAATTGCATTCCTGGGATAAGCTCAGACAAAGCCTGTTTTTGCTCTTCTGCCAAGTAAGTCAGGTGAATTTGTTCTCTCCAAAGGGTAAATCCGTGTCACTTCCATTGGCAAAGTCATGGATGAAAATGCATTGAAATACAAGAATGGCTATAATATTTATATTGCTGAACATGAGTGGGCAATGTGCACTCACAGCCCAGAAAGCCAACCATATCCTGGGCTGCATAAAAAGAAGCATCGAGAGAGGTGATTTGCCCCTCAGCTCTCGTGAGACCCCACCTGCACTGCTGCGTCCAGCTCTATGGTCCCCAGTACAAGAAGGACATGGAGCTGTTGGAGCGAGTGCTGAGGAGGCCACAAAGATCATCAGAGGGCTGGAGCACCTCTGCTATGGAGACAGGCTGAGAGAGTTGGGGTTGTTTGGCCTGGAGAAGAGAAGGCTCCGGGGAGACTTTATTGCAGCCTTTCAATAAAGGGGGCTTATAAGAAAGATGGGGACAAAATTTTTAGTAGGACTGGTAGCAACAGAACAAGGGGTAATGGGTTTAAACTAAAAGAAGGTAGATTCAGACTACATATAAGGAAGAAATAGTTTATGATGAGGGTGGTGAAACACTGGAACAGGTTGGCCAGAGGGGTGGTACATGTCCCATCTCCGGAAACATTCAAGGTCAGGTTGGACAGGGCTCTGAGCAACCTGATGTAGCTGAAGACATCCCTGCCCATTACAGGAGGGTAGGAATAGATGACCTTTAAAGGCCCCTTCCAACCCAAACCATACTATAATTCTATGATTTAGAAAATATCCACTTATGGTGATTATCATGATTTTAGCTGGACTTTGCTTGTAGCAGAATCCCAGCAAGGAACAGTATACCTATAACATTTTTAATATCAGTGTTGATATGGGAATTGGACTGCCTTTTAGCTGTTTTGTCTGATGTACAGGTACCGTATTATCCACAAATTTTGCAAGTGGATTCTGTTTGTGACTGGGACTTGAATCCAGATTTGCTGAGCTGTCACAGCCACAAGGCCATACTTAATGCTTACTTTTGCTACCGCATACCTAAGTAAGTGAGAGTGTATGAATCCTGAGGTAATAGAGTTAGAAGGCTCAGACTGCCTTTGCCACTGCCTGTGAAGCTCTAAGATCTAGACAGGGTCACAATGTGCCACTGAAACCTGTAAGGAAATAACTGTAACCAAGGTCAAAGAGGTTCTTGCAAAGGTTCTGGGTCATGAGAATTGTGGGGGTGGGGAAGGATACAAGCTGACATTAGGAAAAGGAACCTTGCTGGTGATCAAGCCAGGTGGGTAGTAAATGCTGAAACATTCAGGAGAAAACTTGGACTGAAAGGCAGTGGTCCTAACTACATTGCATGGTGAACAGGAATTTTAGGTGATGTTACAGATAGAAAAACACAGATTGTTCCTAGTATTGTCACAAAAGGTGTAATACATAATTGTAACCAGTGAACAAATGAACATTTTTTTATTTTATTTCCCTGATTCTGACACTGATAATTTTCTAGTAGATTTCTTTGGTACTTTATAAGGACTTAAATCAATGTGTTTTGTCATTGCTCCCTTAAGTCATTCCCTGGAATGTCTGTTGACCTGGTTGTCAGTATGCATTGGGAAAACCTGTCTACATTTTTGTAGAGATTGACACCAGTGTGCCAATCAGGGATATGTGAAACTCACATTTGGAACTGGGACCAAAATTCTTGTTACCCCAAGTAAGTTTGAGCTTTCAGTTCAATATTAACACCAGGATTAACAAAGACACTTTTATGGAAGCATGGTCCAACTTCTTTTTGGCTTCCCTTGACAAAAAACAGTTGGAATAGAGATGCAGTCTTGCAATCCAAGGAGTGCTTGGCTATGGTGTGGCAGTGATTCACTGCAGGAGAGAACAGCTAGAGAAAATGGTAATGTTCATACAGGTTTAATAGTCATGGCATGGTGCAGTCACACATAGACTGCTGCAAGCAGTTCACACAAGACTGAATGCTACATAAAAAGTTTAGCACTTTTATAGAGTTTCTGGCTATTAATGTTTTCAGGCTTGATTATCTTTAAAATAATATCTGGAGGTTATTCTTACTGATGGCTTAGAGATTGGATTTCCTAACTCTTAACCTAAGAGAATATGTCATGATTTTTGGTTTTAAAATCGACAAGTAAAGTCCCCTTCCATATTTGTAAAAACTGATGTTACGGTGTGAGCAGTCAGGAACTAGAAAAATTGGAACAGGAACCAAACTTCTTGTGATGCATAGTAACTCTCTTTCCTTTCCTCAGTTGTATTTTAAAATACTTTAGAAACCTGAAAAGATGGAATGAAATTTCAAATATCCTTGTGTGTCAACATCTGGTAGACAGCTTTCCCATATATTTTGGATGAGGAGCCATTGGAATATGCAGCTGGTAGGCAGGAATTTATTGCAAATGCTTCTCATTGAGTGGGAAACTGAAAGAGACAGTAAATTTGTCTTTGGAAGAGGGACTAGATTTAAAGTCAACCCAGGTGAGTAAGATTTGGAGAAAGACAAGTGAGGAAGGTATGAAGGCAGGAGCAGTGTCCACTGGTTAGTGTTTCTGAATAGGTCTACCTTTATGGAAAATGAAAATAAACTCTAGATGAAGAGTGGATGGAGGCATGAAGGCTGAGAGAAAATTAACCCAGGATTATTTTTCAACATGGTGCTTGTGAAGATGCAGCAGGGAGACTGGGCATAGTGGGAAATGAGACAGCATCACCAATGTCTTAGGTTAATGATGTTGTCATATCATTAACATTAACTTCTGAATCCTATCAGACAGTAATAGTGTTTTGCCTTAGATTGAGGCAGAAAAAAAAAATCAGAAATACCTCTGGGTTCATGTTTAAGTCTTAGTTTCACACTGCATTGTGAAGAAATTTCCCAGGTGACTTAGACTATAGTATTTGCAAACTGGGGTGTGTGGGATACTGGAGCTAGGAGAGTAATTTTTGGAAATGGCACAAGGCTATGATCCCAAATAAGTTATCAAATTAAATGTACCCATTAAATAGACTGATCAGGAAAGGATATAATTCTGGTGTGAAATAGATATCTGTATCTGAGGCAATTCCACAAGTGTAAGATCAAAAGTTTTTCTGACTTTTTGATATCAACATAAAAAAGATCTTCTGCCTGTTTTTAGAAAGGGATTTCAGTTTGATTCTTTTAATATTTTTTTTCTTAGTCATTAAACAAATCTAATTTTTTTTTTGGCTGGCACTACATGAATCATTAATCTCTAATTCAGAAAGTTTATCAAATTCAGAAAGTTTATCTAATTCAGAAAGTTTATCAAATTCAGAAATCAAATTGAAAACTTGTTCTGGAAATTAAAACTCACTCTGGTTTTGGAAGAAAAACCATGCAAAAGTATTTTGTGAAAATGATATGTTCTCAGGAGGTTCATGAGCAGCCACTTCAAGTCTTTTTGTTTCAAGACAATTGTTACACAGATGTGTTAAGCCATCTCATTCACTTGTGAGCTTCAAAGAGTGGATTAGGTAAGAAGAATTGCTCCTTCTGACCCCCAAAAATCATTCCTTAACATTGTTGAAAGGAGCAGCAGAGGAGATCATAGTGATCTCTCCCGCAGTTTAGGTGAGGCATGAATAAATCTATACATGAACACAAATAGGATATTGCTTCCCAATATGAAATTTAAGAAAACTTCATCTCAACTCTTCCTTAATGTGAACACATGCTATAAGCCTAGGATTTATCCTATTTTGGTTCTAGAGAACTATTTAGTTCACTGAACACCTGATTTCTCCTCACATACTGGATATCTTCCTCTATTGATTCAGCTTTAGTTTTGGTTCAGCTAGAAATCTTCCCCTTTAAAGGTTTGCGAGAAAGATATTGAATGGTTTTGGTAGTTTGACTTCCCCAAGTGAAGTACAGTGGCAACAACAAACACATTTTTGGGATGGGGACCAGAATTATGCTTGAATCTTCTAAGTGAAGCAGCATATTCACATTTGCAAGTACTGAATCTCTGCACAGAGTCCTTGTATTTTGAATTACTTGGCTGATGCTGGACTAGGACCTGGCTTCCTTTATCTGAGTGTGTCCAGACAGGAGCACTGGAAGTCTAGAGAAGGGTTCAGGTACTAAATGTGGACATCTAGTCTTGCTGTAGACATCCGAGCATCCATGCAGGGCTGGCAGATTTCACAAAGGACCTCTTGTAGACCTTTTGGAACCTCCATCGGAGAATAGCCAGCAAACATCACTAAAGTGCTTGTTAAGTTACTGGAGTTGCTCCTCTGGGGTCAAGATTAGTGTATGAGTGTGTGAGGGGCTATATATTTCCTCTGAGTTGGGAGATAGCTCTAGGTTGACTCTAGCTGCGGAATACCATTCTCAGACTGAGGAGCAGTAAGAGGATTAAAGACCTCTACCACACCATTTCCAGTCTGACCAGAGATTCAGAGAGCTTGCTTTGGAGAGAATGAAGAATGAAATAAATCTCTTTATAATACAAGCTGTGTGTTAAACTAGTTCAGGATTTCTACTGCAGCTTGTTTGGATAAAAAAGAATAAGTCTCACTCTGATGTTGCAACAGGCTTCTATTGTGCTCTCCCTGAAATCAGCATCTGGAGTTGGCTTTCTCTGTAAACTGGTCAGGAATAGCATTCCAACAGTTCCTGTTCTTCCAACTGGAAGATATTGAGTAAAGATGAAATTAGTCAGGGTGGACAACGCAGAGTATCATGATTTACTTCTCAATCTTTCCTGCAAATACAGGTCATAAATATCAATACAGCATCTCCAACACGTCTACCAACTCATTAAGACAGAATAACAGGAAACATAGGTCACAGTGCTGTGGTTAGCTGATATTTACCAAGACTGCTGTCTGCAAACTTTCATAACAGTGTGCGAATATGCAAAGGAACTTATCGGAAAAAGACTCTAGTACCAGAACAAAGCCAGCAGCCATGCTGAGCAAGAATGAGAAATGAGTATTTTGCAAAACAGGTGCTGCTGAAGCTGCCTGCAAAAAAAACAGATCTTGGTTTTTTATCTGCTCAAGATAAAAGCATTGTACAGATTGAAAGGGAGAAAAACACCCTAATTTGGAGAGAGATGGATATGTAGTTCTTCAGAAACCATAGTACTCATAATGAGAGAGATGCAGAACAGCTTGATCAATTCCTCCTCTTTCGTATCCATGTACTCCATGACAATGATGTACCCTGGTTCATCTGTATTTTATACAGGGATCTACCATCAAGCTTTTTGTTTGCTCCTGTCTTCCTCTCCCTAATAAATGATCACTGAAATCTATTTACAAAACAATAACTGGGAATATGGGAGGTGGGGAGTGAGGTTGAGGGAGTCAGAACATACATTAGACTGTATTCTGTGTAGTTGGGAAAGAGACAGTCTCATCAGGCTTTTCAAAGCCAGGGCAAAGCTGGGAGAGATGAAACACAATTCAGGAGATGGGCCACAGAATGAATCATTAGGCTTTGCGGATTATTTTTTCTCTGAGATCATACTAATAAAGAAGTATGGCTATTTCTCTAAGGTGCTGACAACTGACAATTGAACAGATGAAAAGCATTTATCTCAGTGATAGAACTAGGGCCTGCACTTGCATAAGATTTTGAAATAGTTTCCAAAAAGCCAAGATTTAGTCCAAACTTCCATCATGGGAAGAAATTAAAACTTCTTCATCTGGGAGCTAAGTTGTCCTTAGCATTTCTACAAGATTTATCAGTGTGGTGCATGAACAGGGGTGAAGAAAATATTAATCTAAACCCTCAACCCTATATGATAACATTTTGTCAGTTTACAAATGTGAACTGAAGCTCCTGTTCAAACCTGTGATTGTGAAGTGCAATGGAAAATGCAGCCGAAGGGTTGCTGAGAGCACCAAATCTGCATCTTGGCTACAGTTTGTCTCTAATCATATTTCATCTGTTCGTCATTAGAGTACTGCAATGCCCATAACATTTTACTATTATGCACGAACAAAGATTTAGGAAAGCACTTTCTCAAAGAATCAGACTTCAAGAGCTGGACAAGATGAAATATATGCTTAGAGTACAAGTTTACAAAGCTAAATGTGCAAAAAAAAAAAGAGTTTAACCACAAGTAGGGTTTTGATATATGTGGAAAATCCTAGACTAACTGACTTGCTAGCAGAATTTGGAGCAAGAAAACAGCAATAAATCCCAGGTGTCTTATATCTGCAGCCTTTAGTTCCCCAAATCCTTCTTCTGCAGGGTAAAATTTAGTAAAAACATCTTGCACTGCACTGTCAGGTGGTGGAACATAATGAAATGTTCATTTGTTTCATCTTTATTTCCCTAAATGCAACATGTGTTCCTACCTTGAAGTGGCTTTCCTAGCCTTCTCCTACAGGAACACAATTAGCTAGACTGTTGGTAAATGTGGACACCCTAAGACTTGGTAGTTTATCCATGATCCCTCAGGACAGGTGATGGCAGTTGGATTTTGAACGTCAGTGGTGCATTGGACTACACATTTGCAGAAAAGGCAGAATGCCCCTGGACTGCTCAGTTCTCTTCGGACACATCTCGTAGCAGTGAAGCAAGAAGACAGTGCATTCTCTGCCTGTTATACATGTTTGTGAATGCATCCAGACCAAGGTCCAAAAGGAAACCCAGGCTGCAGAGTAGACTTGAATGAGTTGTTACAGAGAGGAATGACTGGGTTAGATATGGACATCTAGGGTGTGGATGCCCACATGAGCATCATTTGAGATGTTCTAGGGATCCTGCCTGACCACTCTCTTGTGTCTCCCACACAACATAAGTCAACATAAGTCTCATGTAGCTCCTGCATCATCTGCTGTGGATGCCTTCGTTCTCTGAAGGTGCCCTAGCACAACATGCCTATGACCAGGTAACTTCCCACTAGAATCATGGAAAAACCTCCATACCTTTGAGTCTGTATGTTAAGATTGAAGGAACTATGACTGTGTATTCTCATCTAATGTCTCGTCTCTTCTCCATTTCCAGATGTCACTCCATCTCCTTCAGTCTACAGGCTGACCTCTAAAGATGATGAGGATTTGGAAATGTGTCTTATCACAGATTACTCCCCTGAAAACATTACTCTTCACTGGGGTGATAAGCAGACAAATGTTGTAGTAGAGGTGGCAACACCTGAGAACAAACAGGAAGTGAGCTACCTGTCCACCTACTGGGCCAAGAAAGATGTAATGCAGTGTGGTGCAAATCACCAGGGCTTTGGAGAACTGGAGGGCGAGGATCCTGAAAAAGGTAATGGCATTGTTGGATGTGTGTACAGGGCTAGAGGTACTCTGGTCCCTGTGCTATTGGTATGAGCACAACTTGTTCACATCTCCCAACCCTGCAAGCAATACTGAATTTTGGTCCCACAGTCCAGAGGAATGTTGCCTTGTTGCCTCTGTTTTCTTCTGCCTTCATCCTTGGTGGAAACAAGATTAAGGGTTGATAGACTGGTACAGTTAGAGCAGAGAGATCTTAAAATCACACTGTGGAGGATATAAACCTTGACATTCCTTTGTCCGATGGGACACTAAAGTTTGATTAGATCATATTTTATGCTTGCACTGAAAACAGCAGAAATGAGTGTTTATGGGAGGATTTACTGGCCAGAAACTCTAATCCAGCCCTTCTAAGTACAGAAATCTTTATGAACGTCTGAAGAAGTACATTTCTGTTATTGATTAAATTTATTGTTACTATCTGCAGGTGCCAGCACTGTCTGTGTTACAGGGGTGTCTCTACACTTCAGGACAGGTATGTACACAGCATTTTAGGAATAAAGCTTGGCCTGATTAAAGGAAATGTCTTCCTTGCTAATGTTCCCTGTTTGCAGAATTCCTGTTGGAGCAAAAAGCTCAGACTGGAAATTTCCAAAAGGGCCTCACAGGCTTTAAACATCAAGGCTGGAAGTCATTGAGTTAATGTAGTTTTAGAAATCCGAGCTGGTATATTTATGTGACTAGTGTAGCCAGTGCCTACATGCTCTTGCTAGGACTAGCCAAACAACTACTTCCCATCACACAATGATTTAAGGTACTGATATGAGTCAGCTTTACTGGGTGTCTGGCTGCATTTCAGAATTCAAAAGTGTTGGTTATATTTTTGGGTGCACAAATACCTACTGAACCAAAAGATAAGCAAGTGGTTTCTGCAGTGTGTGCTCAGAAGCAGGCTTGCACGAAAGATAGGGTGCATCTGAGCAAGCTTTGCTTCAGCTCATGCCTGTGGGAGTATATTAGCTGGTGCTGGAGCACAAGCAATTGCTCTTCCTGCTAGTTCAAAGGAGCTGAGCCTGCCTCTGCACTTGCCCTGTTTACAGAACAGCTGTACTTTTGTGAACATGCAGCCTTACCGAAAAGAAAGCAGTTACCCAAATGTTTCCAAAACATCACTTCAGAAAAATACTCATAAATAAACTTGGCTGATTTGATCAGTCATTTCAGAGAGAGGTTTTCAAAGGTAAACATAAAATGACTTTTTGATGACAGTTCCCTGCTTCCTCAATATAGGTCAATGTATTTTCAAATTAAAATGACTTTGTATCTATTGATTAATAGAAAATCCAAACAGACTTTGTGTCCTTTGAACAAAATTTAACTTGTTTCCCCCCTGCCCATCTTAACAAATTTTAGGGAGAGGAAGTAGGGTCACCTCCAGCACCCTGGGTTCATAGTACACTGTATTTAAAACAGCTATATGGTTGGCAGACTTGCATATTGGACAATTGGGTGGCTATTGAATGAAAACCTAGCCTTGAAACATCAGTTGGAAGAAATGAAAGCATCTCAGTGAGACAGTCCTGCTCACTGTCTCATTAGCCATCCTACTGGCTAACTCAATCCCACAAGGTGGAAGAGCTTCATTAAGAAGTGCTTTTAAGTCTGTCTGGACATGAGGATGTCTCATCCCTTGTGACTTTCATTCTCTGTTACTTTGACAGATGAAAACCTGAACATGCTGTCTTTATCACAGCTGGGCCTGAAAATAATTTTAATGAAAGGAATAATTTTTAATGTGCTGATGACAATGCTTATGTGGAAAAAAAAGTGAGTATGGATGAGGCCTCTGACAGAAAACATCTGAATCAGTTAATTAGCTATGAATGTTCCTTCTCTCTGTAGTAACTGTTTATGCAGTCTATCCATACTCTTCCGTATACCAACAGTAAAATCTCTGCTCCTTTGGCCATACCATTGTTTTTGCTCACCCCTCAAGTCTATTTACTTCTCCTTTATCCTTATAAAATTTAACTGTTTTCTTCTTTCTACATCCTTCTATTTCTACATCCATCCCTTCCCTTGTCTGCATTCGTCCATCTATCCATCAGATTAATGCCCTGACCAGTCTCCAGCTGGGAAAGTTTTATGCTTATTGACTGTAAAACCTCAGACATATATTAGTTTTGGCCCAGTGTTTCTTTCTCCTCTTCCTTTTGCCTAGACATTTAGGTACAATTGTGTGGCTGCGCCTGTATCCCAAATAAGGATTCAATATACCTTTATTGCTGTTACAGGAATGAAAGTAACCAGATGGTGCCGTCCTGAAGTGCCAAGAAATCTGCTGAGGAATCTTTACCAGAGCATCGTGTGCAAGAGG